CTCTCTCTCTCTCTCTCTCTCTCTCTCTTTCTCTCACACACATTCTACTGCGTTTTTCGCTCACGATTTCTTCTTCTTGCTTGCGGATCATCTTCTAGTCGCGCGATCCGCTTCTCACCCTCTAGCAAGCTCCTCCTAGTCTTTGTACGTACCAAACGATGGATGGATTATCTAACCGCACCTGATTCGCGCCATTATCGTAAAACTGGTTCTTAAAACTATCTGCGATCACACACACACACACACACACACACACACATATACGTATTTGGACTTCTTGGTGATTATCGAACTTGCGGAAATAACGGATACGTTGAGCGCCTTTCTTCTAGAAGAATAGTACGTTTAAGTATAAGAGATGAGCGCCGAAGATTTCTTGACGTAATGCGCTCATTCTTCTCTCCAAATGATTATTTTTGAAACAGAGTTAAACTAACATCCAAATTTGTTTTCGTCAAATTCCGAATTAATAGTTTTTTTTTCACAATTAATATACGCAAATTAGAAGATGCATACATCAAGTGTCACAGGAGAAATGATTGATTTTTACATTGCTTTATTTCCGTGTGATTTATTTCTCAGATCCCGCTGCGGGGTTGGTTTTTACATTTATACTCAGCTCACATCGAAATGTTTCATTCATTCGGCGATCCCTTTCACTCATCCGGAAAGGTTTGCCTAGGAATTATAAGGGCCATTGGCACGTTCTATCTGCCAATCAATCCCGAGCTAGCAATCGGACCGGGATCCGGCACCACCAGGGTCTTAGAAAAGCGTTTCGGGCAGCAGTAACCTTTTGAGTGGCAATCGTAAAGAGGGAGAAAGAATCATGAACGGTCGAAGGGCGAACGTGGGAGAGGGGCAGCAAGGTGGAAACGACGCACGAGCAAGAGGGATTGAATGGAACCGGAAAGTGAAAGAGAAACGGAAATAACAGGGGCCAGAGAAAGAATAAGGCGAAAAGGAGGAAGAAATCGAGAAGGCGAAGAAAGAAATGTGGGGTAGCCAACATAATGGAGTGCAGTGATTAAGTCGGTTCTATCATTCACGGGGACAATAGAGAAGTTCTGTACCTACCTGCAGTATCGACGAGCCAATCGGCCAGCCGGTTTAGACGAGGAAAGAGCCTGAAAGGATTCTCTCAACTCTTCATCTTTTCTCGCAAAGTGGATTGACCGAGCGTACTGCCGGAAGAGCTCCATTAATGCCGTTGTCCTCGTGGACACGCAGAAAGATCAAGAATTTATCTGGAACTTCATCGAATCTCTCTCTTGTATTTAGCTGCATCTCCGCTCCCTATTAAGAGACAGTTCGAATCCATTCTACACAGAAAGTACAAGAATTAACGGCGAATGTATCGCGCTATTTTCTCTGAGAATCTTTCGACAATCGTGTTGGAACGTTAACGTATTTGATGTTCATTAAAAATAATGTTGAAGAGAAAAAGATGTTTCCACTTCCTGATTTCCAGCGAATGGATTTCGCTAGCACGAGACGATATCGATCAAACTTGAAATTCCGTCGTCTCGCCGCTGTTTGATGCGCTCGTATATCGGCGTCGTGGCTTTTGTACATACATCGATTGGATTGCACGAGCGCCAAGGATAACGGCTTCCGCGCTGCGAATCTACCGAGTGCATTTCCCTCACACGCGAGATTCGGCCCGACAAGTTCGGATCTTAATGCGCCACAAGGTGCGAGAGCGCGAAGGAGTCGAAAAGCGTGAGCGCAAATATATGGATGTGTGACATGTGTGTGCCTGTGAACGTATAGGTTTGCGAGAAAGTAGATGTCGAGAATTCGGCGAGCCGTACATCAATCAATTTCACTACCATCGCGATCAAGGCGTGTCGGGGTTCCCACTAAGGGCAACTCCCCGAGACTCTGGGTTGAGAGAGGTGTGAGTGTGGATTCGTTTCATACGATTTCGATCTCGCAATTTTTCGTCAGGAGATAAGACCAGGCGGGGAATCAGGAGCGATAGCCGATCACGTAGTCACCTACAGTCTTCGCTTGGCACTCCTAAAAAGAGCCCTCGATAGTCGGCAACTTTCGAACAGCTGTTCGAAACTACTTCCATGCCGTATCTTCGATATTCCGCTGAATACGCCGACCAAAATCTTGGACGCTATCGATCAGGATGATTTTAATGGCTCAATACAACCATCTGAGAAAGAGAGAGAGAGAGAGAGAGAGAGAGAGAGAGAGAGAGAGAGAGAGAGAGAGAGAGAGAGAGAATCGCTAAAGTTTCTCTGAGAACGTAACAAACATTTACTTTCAAACTTAAAATAAAACGTACGTGGATATGTTTTCAGCATACGTTTTTAGGACATACAGAAAAAACATTGACATAGTTGTTATAATCTGAATTATTAAACTGCTTTTAATGCTTCTAAAAAAGTTATAACATTTTATATAACTTCTATAAAAGTTGTATTTTACATACAATGTTTATTTTCTTTGTTAAAAAAGAGACTGCGCATTACTTTAATTTTATTTTTATATAACTTTATAATTATTTTTTAACTTTATAATATTAAAA